CAACTGTCGAGAATATAAAAATAACCAATTTTAGCAAGGAGAAATGTGAATTTTGAATACCTGGAATAAAATGGCCACCTCACACAGAAGGTGATGAAATTTACCTGACCCCAAGACACCCCATCAGGATATTTTATAAAATAATTCATTTGTTTCAGTCAAATGAATCGACTCACAAACACTAGAATACATTTTATGGACATGAATTCGGGTCAATTTGACTCAAATAAATTGACTTTAGGTTGAGATATTTCATTTTCACAATCTATTTCATTCTCTCAATGTGAACAGGATCTAGTCAGCAGCTGCTAATATACTGTAAGCTTCCAGGCTGGTGCCAACCCCAATATTAACAAGCTAATTCTGATTTTAAAGATGTACCGATACCACTTTTGTCACCGATACCGATCCGATACCAACTAAAAACGCCGATGCGATACGCCAATATTACAAAATGGCCGATATTCCGATACTATGTAAATATTGCCTCACATATGCTGGGCAGACGGCTCAAAACACTATCTTTGAGCATTATTCATACTACACATTATTTCAGATATCAAAAGGATATAATACATCATGAAAAATTGATGGTTTGGATTCAGATGTGTTAATTAATTTAAAGGCATTGTGTACTGACGCTAGTAATCTCGGTGTTCAATTAGAAAACTCATAGGCAGGGATGGGCAGGAAATTAATTAATAATATATCGCAAATATTATCGTATATTTCGAGATAGTCTGGTCGACCACGGCATTAAAATTACTAGGAAATTGTATAGTTAAACAAAATTAAAATTATTGGAATCACAATATTTAATACCTGTGTAGAGAGATAATTGAGTCGGAATTTAGCTTAATATCGATGGACTAAATGACACTAGTCAGAACACAGTCAGAATTCATACCCGTGCCAGAAAATGCGTATGCTGTTAATAAAGACTACAGACTTTTTTACACTATGATTTAAAACTGGGAGCGTAGTTGCTCTTATTTTTGTGCTTGTCAATTACCACCACAATTTATAGTTATAAATACCGTAATGCCTATTAAGTCTACCTTTTTAGAGCAATTTCATTTATATCACTGATGCCTTATGACTGCTTTACAATGATAACATTATCAAAGCCTAATTTATATGTCCCTGGATTTTAGGAAAGTGAATTATATTTATGAGGGAGATTTTACAATGTATTCGGAATTTCAGTATCGAAAATATTTTCAGAATGTATTCGAAATAGTCGATGGGTATGGCTATCCCGCTCATAAGGTTTTGCTACCAGGGTGGTAAAATAAATGAATGAATGTTTAGCCTACTTATCCTATCAAATTGATACATTGAGTTACGTGCGCAAGATTTTGTTCCAATATGAAGACATGTTTTGTATTTTACACATTAGAAAATCCACTAATATTCGATTGATATATTTATTCATAAATACTATGTAATATTAAAAACGTCAATATAAAAATTTGGCACTAAAAATAGCCAAATTAGTTGAGCGTTTGGCTGATAAATAACTAAGAACAGGTCAGAATCCCATTCTCGTTTCTACTTGCGGGGGTGGGGACGTGTGTGGCTCATAGTTCACGATTCCCCCCCAAGCAAAAAATAATTTAAACATCAGTCTTCTAACTTATTTTTTAAGACATTCTGGATAATATTAAAAAGGTAAACATATCGGAAATATCGTTCTTCATTTAGCCGATACCGATACACTACCGATACCGATACATCGGTACATCTCTAATTCTGATATTAGATTCATTGAAGCCTTTGCTTCAAACAAGGAACCTCTGATATGTTAGACACTATCCGACAACTGATAGTCTTAACTTGAATACGAAAGTTGCAAATCTGGGTGAATGAGGAAAATTCAGCCCAAGGTACCATATAGTAGGCATTAACTCTTTATCCTAGATAAACTTACCCATCATAAGTTGTTGCATTCACATTCGCTGACATTTTCAACAAAATGTAGAAACACTCTGAATGCGTTCAAGCGCGTGATGTAGGGCTGTCCGTCCGTACGTTGAATCACCAATGTTCAAGTTGATAATGGGTTGGCGAACCAGGAAGTTCACAACCTCCACTTGATTGTTTATTGTAGCTAGATGAAGCGGAGTTAAACCTGAAATAAAATATGGAGTTGTTGGATTTCAAAATAATTTTTTTGAACCACGGTCATGCGCATTCTGAGGCAGAGGAAGCTCATCTATGGGCAAAGTTTCAGGATTTACTGAAGTGTGAAAAGATACTGAAACTATATGGAAATATAGTGGTATATTACATGATAGAAAGTGCAGTTGACTTGAAGCGGTTGATTAAAAGGGGAAAAACAGTTAAAGGGACTTCAAGATAACTGAAGTTTTTGAAAAAAAACCATTGGCATAAAAAATGCTTTACTCAAGAGGGTAAAATGCCAGTAAAGGCCTAAACTAGATTTTTTAGATGCCGACCTGGCATGCAAGGTATGTGGAGGGAATGTCAGTTATATTTTTCTAGTGGAGTTCGAATGGTTGAAATAACGAATACATGTACACAGTTTATACTGTTTGACTTCAGATACCGTCCTGAAATAAGGAAGAACAATTGTATATGAATGGTTGATATAGTGATGCGAACACTTTGGTATGAAATGCAAATATAATCTCAACCTTCCCTGGGTCGTGTCCTCGCAAATATTCCTCAACAAATTGCATCAAACCATAGAAAAGCCAGAAGTTGGACGAAAGTATATTAAAACCCGTCATCTTCAGAAAGGGGAAATATATATTTTGAAAACAAAACAGTGGTGATGGGTGTGGAGCTTGGGTATGTGTTGCTTGTATGGTATGGAAGCATAAACTGTGTTCAGTTATGTCAATAGGACTTGCAGAAAAAACTAATATTAAAACTTCAATTATTCCTCTGAAAGTGCTTATATTTCAAGTAAATTCCCTAGAGCACTGTTTTGAATTGAACCCATGCCACCCCCTCAATCCATTCATTCATGAGTTTTGAATTTTCTCGTTGTGGGATTCACCAAGAATTGTTTTTGACATGAAGTTGTCAAAGGACAGAAAATAACATGTTTTATTTTGAGTTTGTTATTCATTCGAAGAATAACAATAGAGGTTTCAGTTGCCACCAGTGTCAGTAGTTCTGCTTTTGTAGTCACTTGATAGTTTCAATAAATAACGTCGATTCCCCTCCAAACTTGATCAGTATAATTTTTGTTAGTTGGAATCCTAAGACATAAGCCTCCCAGTTTTACAGCATTTGCCATTTCATGGTGAAGCGAAACAAATTAATTCAGGCTCAAGATTCTGTGAGAAAACCCGATTTCATTTCCAAATCATAGGGGAGCCAACACCTAGTTACTGTTTGTGTTGATTCAATAAATGACATTCAGACCATTTGTATAGCACTCATGTGTATTGACATTTATAAAGGTGTGTCCCACACCTGGTGGAAACCCCCAGTATAACCTATGGAATGACTTAGCTAGAATAAGGTATGTTTACTGAAATAATATGAGAAGCCTTGAGTGGGATACGAAAGATTTATGATTCCACTTAACTACAAATTCAAATTTGAATATTAGCTTTTAGAAGGGGCTAACAGGCTTCAAGGGCATATAATGAAATACATTTTGTAATGATCCAGGATATAAGTGATACTTCAATAATTTGGTTAGGTGATACAAACTTCATTTTAACCCTTAAATCATGCTAATGTAGCAGCCTATGAGGAGAATGTTCGAATGAAATATGTGTTGGGTGATAAGTGGGCATGCAGTGTGTTAGGGAGCATATTTCAGCTTGAGCTTTGGAGCCTGCTATTCATTCTTCTTTTAGCTCCCACTGTGTTGATTGAAAATAAATTCCATTGAATGCCAGAACAACCCACAACACAAGGGAAGTCGGTAGGAAATGCCCGTAACATTACACCCAGCCAGTCATGGGGAATCATATTACAACGCTTGTCCTGATTAGTGTGATATCCTAGACTTATTCTTTGGGTTTGAATTAATTTTCGGTTTTGAATATCAAATGTTCCGCATAGATTTATTCAATGCTACTTATGAGGCAGAAAATTCCAATTCACACATAATCACATATATTCATGTCAAACTTTGGATTTCCCCATATTATGTTATTCAATTATCAAAGTTGGATAAAATAACTATACTTCACTGATAGCATTAAGTTTTATAAGCTAGGAGGGAAACAATAGCATGAAGTTCATACCCTATTTGAATCAAACTATGAGGAACTTACAAGATTTCATATTTTCAATGGCCAAAAATTTTCAAAAATTACAAATCAAATTTTAAATTGTGAAAAGGTTTATTTTCTGTCATCACCTTTCACCTAGTTCACAAAACAAAAGCAATGTGAACAATTCTGGAATTTTTTAACATGATACTCGAAATTATTCTCCCATTAGCTCAGAATTATTAGCGAATCCACAAACATATAAAAAATTTGAATGATCAAATGAAAATCCCAGATAGAGGTTTAAAAAAAAAAATTTCCAGATGCCAATCGGAACAATTTATGCAGAGGTTCAAAAAAAGATTATAACAAAACCTTCGCAATCAAAAGTTTTTTTTTATGTGCCATGGTGATTACTCGATTTGGCAGTTGCTATTATTTACGCATTTTAAATATATATTCCTTAATAATCTCTAAATGTAATATTATTACATTCACAATTGACTTGAGAAAAAAAAAAAGTTAAACCTGGCATAGCATTACAGATTATTTCCTGAAAATTTCAGAAACTTTCCAAATCTTTTGCATAACCTATGAAATTTTCATTGAGTATAATTAGCTGCAGATGCGTAGAAAACTTTTCTGAAACTTTCCATTAACAACTGGCGTCAGTATACGTAACCATTTGATAAAGTACGCCCTCAGGTCATGAATATGGGATTTATCAACTAAAACTAAATTCCTGTTGCCAGAAGAAATAAAATTTATTGCATTCCTAGACTAATCATAGTTTGGAAAAGATGAAATAAATAAAGCAGACACTTTGAGAACACTTTCATAAATTCCATATCGGAATACATTAAATTCTTAAGCAAATTGTTCTAGTTCTCAATAAATGAAGGTATTGTTATTTGTAAGTTTGTGATTCTGGCTGGCAGGAAGTTATCAACAAACCGAGACATATTTGCTTGTCATAATTTTCGGTTGACAAATTTGCATTCTGTAGTTTTACCATAAAAAATTTTGTGAATATAATTTAGAAATACCAATCATCTTTGCTTTGGTATTTCAGTCAACAATTCTAAGAAAGATTTGAATTTTCAAAATGTAAATGAAAACTACAATATTCCATGGACATGAATCCGAATTTTACAGATTTGACATGAAAAAACAAGAATTTAGACTAGATTTTGAATTCATAGCTTTTTAGAACAGTTCTGAATCATATTTATTATTCAGGAATCTGAGACAAAACACGTTTTCAATGGAACAACAGACAGATTATTCAAACAAGACCAACCCAAACGGAAATGTCGGAAACTACCAGAATGATAAATAAAAAACAAATTCAAAACAGTCACAGAATGTCACATCAAAATCCCCAGTCATGAAACCAGTAAACAACATAATGTCTGATAGAAGAACATTCAATTGGGAATTAAAGGAGAATGAATAAGTTTATTTGAAGATAAAATGACCAAAACTTTGTGAAATTTAAATAAATTACAGCCAGAACTAGGTCTCAGTTTGGCAATTTCTTTACAAAATTATACTTTATTTAGTCACAATATCCCATTGGTGATTATTTTTTAGTCAACTATGACAAATATGGCGTCCCTCATGGTGAATATATCTATCTGTCTGTATTTGTTGTTGGTGACATATGTCAGGAAATTTCAATATGAGTCTATTTTTTGATAAATCTGAAAAACCCAAAGTATGAGCAAGTCATTTTGAATCATTCGCACACTTTTCTATTGCTGAACATTAGTTTTTATCAAAATCCACAACTCATATAAGCATTAATTTAGAATTTTCATTTTGGGGTAAATATTATTCAAATATGATAGGCCTTGTTGAAAGTGAAAATTCTCAAATTATTCCTTTCTGCTATCTACAATTTTGTTAACAAAAACACGAAATAGTCTAGGAACACAATATTCAAATACAATGTCTAACATAGACTACTTTGGCAAACATTCGTGGGGTTTTCCATAATTCTTGACATCAATAATGCATGAAAGCTCTAAGCAGTGTTACAATGCATTAGGAGTCAAGGTTTTGACAAAATTTTGTGAAATTTGATCCAACAGTTTCCTTGACAGTGATGACATGGATTACTTCTCATATAGAATGATATATGGTAGTCTTATCATATTTGCTGAATTTCACTTTGTGACACTTTTTTTTCATGTGTCTGCTTTACAAAAAGTCTGGCTTTTATGATCCTATCTCACAAACATGGAATACTTTTTTTGTCGTAGTTTGACCTTGAACTAATCCAGTAAGATGCAGGAAGACTCTTAGGCCCTTCCACTATGACTTGCATTATATCTCAATTAGAGCTCATTAAATTCTCCATTCCTTCTCACTTATATCCGACAATCTAAGATTAGCAACTCAATACATTTTATGGCGAACACACAGGAGGGATTTTCCACATGAGCTATTAATATTGATTTCCTGATCAATACGATTGCTGAAATATCACGCTATTTGTGAAGAAATAATGATTTTCCCATCTGCGATTCATGACCTAATAAAGGTTTCTAGAATTATCATTGATGACACTCTCATTATAAATTCAGATAAATTATTTGGTCATAATATGGCTATTTTAACCAGATAGTTGGGCTGAAGCCAAGCAGACACTGCTGATATCTAAGCCATTTCACCAGATTTGATATCTATTCTCAAAATATGCTATTTCATATTGTATTTCCATTTATATTATTAGAGATCAAATTAATAATTGCAAGGCGAGTTGCAGACGTTGCACATAGTTGGCCTCTACTCAGGGAATTATTTGAATTACCATATAAATATAGTTGAACAGCCCCATTTTCCTCAGTTCATTTTAATTGATGATGGTTATTCAATATTTAACTGTACTTGTTAGACATAAGCGTCATATCAATATCCCTCAAATCTCCTAAAACATTGTTTCCTGACCATGAAAGAATTTTGTTGTTTTCGATGTACTTTTACTAAAATTGTTTAGTTATTTAGTATTCATGTGATACATATTTAGAAACTATTCGAACTGTACAAAAAAGCCAGAGTGGTGGTTGAGCGAACCAATAACTGAAACATAGTTTATATGAGTAGTGAAGGGGAGAATGAGGAGTCGAAAAGTACCCAAAGAAAGAGAGGAATGTGTCGAAAAAATTTGGGAAAACCAATACTCTATCAGCTTTACAATTTAACAACATAATTTACCTTCATAATTCTTGTCATTGATATTCTGAGGCAAGTTGGATTCCTGAAGTCCGATGGATTCCTTTCCATCGAGAGGGGAGAGAATCATTCTAACACAGGATAACCGACCATGCTCGCATGCTGTATGGAGAGGTGTGTTCCCTGGAGTAAGATGGATATTATGAGAGTTATTTTCAGTTGGGATAAAATTACCGCATGTTTGTGAAGAAAGCTGACATCAAGAAATAATAAATAATTGCCCTGTTATAAGTTTGCTGGATGATTTTGTTTCGATTACATTCTAAAGACACTTGCATGTCGAAAACCCTAGTTTGATTGTTATATGTGAGAAAATTTCCGGGAATCTCACAGTCTCAAGGTGGTTCATGCAACCCCTGATGAGTAAGACTAATCCTCTACCAATCACTTCACGCAATAAATTATTTTGGCTTAATAACCCCCACATCCGATGTGAAGCAATAATAGGAAGAAAGGTTCACAGCTTTTCTCTCAACTGACCTCTTTTATCTTTTGAGTTGAAATCTGCTCCATAAACAATGAGGAATCTGACAACTTCAGGTAGGTTTGCGTAGACTGCTAGATGAAGGGAGGTCTGAATGAGAGTTCATTTGTCAGTGGCTGCAAGTAAATCTCAACCCACAAAATGCACAAATTAGTCGATAATTATTTTGTTACTGCTTCTCTTATGCACCAAATAGTAGGTGATAGCTGTCCCAGTGATTGAAATCCTTACGTTTGAAGTATAAGCTTTCGCTAGTTATGAGTGAATGAAAAATTTTTACCCAATGAAACTACTCACATGAACTTCCGTTGTGAAATAATTCAAGCATTTGGGATCAGGACATTCTTGGATTAAATTGACGATTTCTTTTATATTCTTCTCGAGGATCGCTGTGTGCAGTGCCCTAAAAAAGGATTGAATTGGTTGAAGAAGACATGACCTTTGGAAAGGGTGATACGACCTCTTGGTGACTTTTTATTTTTATCCGAGCATAAAAGAGTGACCTGGCAGAGCAGAGAGCAGCAACAATCACATCAAAATTCCAACAAAAATAAACAACAATCAGGATTGAGGGTGTGAGCTTTGTTGTGTGAATATCTTTCTATACTTCAATACTTGATTGAAAAACAAGATATTCATTCATGCAATTTATTGTTTGGTTGTTGACAATAGTGATTGGTAGAATGGCAGGAAGTGAATTGAACCATGAACTTTCACTGCAAATAATGATAAGAATAGAAGAATGGTCGCCGATGCCCATTGAGTGAATTGTAAAGGAAATTATTGAAGCGCTAAGCTGGTGACTAAAGCCCCATCAACACCAGCATAATTTTGGACCGACATTTATGGGTTGAAACTGCCATTATTTTATTTGAAATAAATTATTAGAACACTCCATGCTGAAAGTGTGTCTAATATGAAACATAAATACACACTTTACCTGACTGACCCAATTTCAGGCCAAAGGGTGAATTCCTATAGACTTTGGACATTGGATGGGCAATTGTAAAAACGAAAGTACTTTAAAAATAGATTGACCTATATGTGACCTGAAGTATGCTTCAGTGAAACCATATTTTCTGTTTAGAAGTAATCGGAAAGTGTGTTCCAGTGGTCATTGTTCCAGGTAATATGAATATTGTCGAATAAATCAATTATCCCAATATTAGGATTCCATTTCAATAGGATTCCGATGGCATTTCCACTAAACAGCTCTAAAAAGTGAAATTGCTCAATCAAGGTCCCAACGGACTGAATACGGACAATGATAAAATGAAAGTGCACATTGGACACAACCCAAGTCACGTTTCACACCGAAGGGAATCCTAAGGAATTTGTGCAACAAATGGATAAAGTGAAAGTACACATTGCACAAAAAAGATCAAACCAAGTAACGTTCCAAACTGGAAGGGGAGTCCCAAATAGGCAATATGATAAATATGGACAAATGGCTGACCCGAGTCACGTAGACACTGTGGGGAATCCTAAGGAATTTCTGCAAGAAATGGACAATGGACAAAATGAGAGTAAATATGGGAATTGGGAAACCTAATGGCAAATAACAAAAACCAGAAAAAGATTTCAAAACTAATTATTAATTGGGTTCTTGGTAATTGTTCTGAGCAAAATCCCCGTCATTACAAGACGCCTGGAATTTGAAAGCAACGATAAATTTCAACTGTAATACTGCACCCAAGCACTTTGATATCAAGACTGGAATTCCCCTCTTTCAGACAATTTAATACCAAGAAATCCTTCCGAGGCCACAAGAGTTAATTTTTAACAAATTCTATTTTTGCTCTCAATTTATGATTAAATATTTACACATCCCTGATTTGATTTTTATTATAATCTCAAATTTGTTTCCAATTCGTACACCAGGAGTTGCCTAGAATCAAAATATTCAATATTCTTGATTGAAATATTTCAATATTAAATCAGATCATGCCATAACTTTGCATAGCCAACAGAACAGTCTGCATGAGTTGAAGCCAAATTTATTAAACTCATAAGTTTGTAGTATTCAGGTTTTCTCAAAGATGTAATCATACACAAACTAAAACGAAAGACATCTTAATTTGACACTCACAAACAACCATGAATATTAATCAATATTTACTGAGTATCTAAGTCAGGGGTGTGCAACAGGCGGCCCGCGAGCCACAACCCGGCCCGCCAAGCCATTTAGTGTGGCCCTTGTCAACACTCTGATTTTTACATATCAAGCATAAAATCCCAATCCGACAGTTTAATTAGACCTGACGATTAAGACCTCTTTTTGGTAGCTCAGATCGAAACAGTAATTTGATCATGACAGTACGTGACGTAAGCATTCTTTGGATTTGTGGTTTAGACTCGTTCAGTTATAAGCTCTGTCTAGCAGATTACGTTTATAGATAAAATGTGTTATCTCACTAGACAGGAATTGTTGTTAGCCGCTATTGCTTTTTCACTTGATTTGCTCGTTTACAACAATACATTGTGATGTAATAATCCCTCATAGTGATTGCTAGACACTTTCCAGTCACTAGGTTTCAAGAGTTTGAAGCAGTTCTGTAGCCTATTTTGCTAGTTTCGTGAGGGTAATATTTTTTTGATAATTTCAGAGCTAGTAATATGTCGGCAGCTAAGAAGCAAAAAATTGATGAAGAAGGAAGGGTATTCAACAGTGAAAGGTGTACAAAATATTTTGTTGTCCCACACAACCAAAGTGCTGTCTGCCTCGTTTGTCAAAGTACTAATGCAGTTATCAAAGAGTATAATGTTAAACGTCATTACATAACTGAGCACTCCTCCCAGTTTGATAAAATTCTTGGTCAGGCACAAGTAGACAAAACAAAACATTTAAAAAAATCCATTGAAAAACAACAAAGTTTTTTACCACTTACAAGAAGGACTCAGAACTGGTGACAAAGTTGAGTTTTAAACTTTGTGAATGTATGGCGGAAAAGGGAAAGCCTTTCAGTGACGGAGAATTTATTAAAAACTGTTTGACAAAATTTACAGAATATGCATGCCCAGAGCAAAAACATTTGGTGGAGCAAATCAGCCTTTCCCGCTTTACTGTTTCAGGCCGAACAAATGATCTTTCAGATAATATCAAAGAAACTTTGAAAGAGAGATTGAAATCGTGTGAAGATTTCAGTCTGGCATTGGATGAGAGCACTGATATCAGTGACACAAGTTTGCGTTCAACTCACTATTTCTGTAAGAAACCCTAATATTGCCGTAATATAACTAGCAAAAATAAACAATTTTTGTACCGGTAATCACGAGAAAGTCTATATTAAATAAAGTTACTTGAATTTGGCCCGCCGGTGAAAAAGGTTGCACACCCCTGATCTAAGCAATGTTAATTATATTTGGAGAACAAAAATAAATCAGGAAATCAGCCGAAATCAAATTAATATCATGAATGAAAAATGCATGCAATGAAGCAGTTGGACTGAGATCAATCGTCTGCTAACTAGAATTCGCTTGAAAAAACCCTAGATTTTTTTTTTTTTGAGAATTAAGATAACAAAATTATTTCGTTTTCTATAAAAATCTAGAACGCATAGCCGTAGTTGAAATTGGAAAAGATAATTTTACAAGTTTTGTTGGACAAAATACTTTGAAAAATTTAATAAACGATCATGGTTTTTTAAAAGTGTGAATTTTCATTTTAATTGCATAAACAAACTGACATGAGATGACTCATCAAGTGATATTCCTCACCATAGATACAGCCCAAGCATGAAAAAAACATAATATTGGGGAAATTATCACTGGGATACACTTGGGCTGAACATGGATGAGAATACTTGCTGCAATGCTTGCAATTGTGCAATTGCCTGGGATATTATCATTTTATCATAGATGGGACAGACTAACTGCGGTTGCTCTTCATGTGTTACCCACACATGAATGACACATAATCAAATGAAATCATCTCCTTGATAGCAGGACAAAGAACAAGGGTTTATGAAATCACAATGTAAATAAAACTATCATTGTGTGTTTGATCACAAAGCAACAGCAAGAGAATGGAGAAAGTAAGAAATAGTCCAAAAAGTGTGATCTCAAAGCGACATGATAGATAGGGATGGATTTTCCCTGACCACATACTTGGAAAGGGGTGAGCGAAAATTTTCCAATTCCATGAATCATGTGGGATTATCTGGAGAACTGGAAATAGGCGCTGTGGTAGTACCAACATTTATGAAATTGATCGTTTAATATCTGGAGCTGATTACATGATTTCTAATAAATACGTATTCTAGAGATACTATCCCTTCAGCCTGCTTGACCAGAGCCTTCTCAGAAGCAGATGTATGCAAAACACCTCACAGCATTTCCATGAATTTGACAAGCCATTTCCGCTGGCTGAAAAACTACTGGAACCACACAGCCAGTACCAGTCTAATGTATGCACATGTTTATATCTGTGGTTTGACATTCATGTTCAGGCTGGTTAGAGTTGGTTGATGAGCTTAAGATAAAGTTGAGAAAACTTACAACCCTCAGGGCTTCTGAATCTGAACACTTTATTATTGATTTATTAGGATATTTACGCCCAATAAATCAAAGGAGGAACGATAATATGAAATTTTTTTTTAATTTAAAATTCCAAAATCCCATCAACAAGGTGAATTTTGATCAGCTAAAATATAGGAAGCATTTGGCCAATGGAAACGAAAGTACAGTACTCGGGAAGTATCAGACTTTCAGATATTATCAATTGGAATATATTTGGTTATTCTCCTATTCACGGTGCATCGTGTGAGATGATGATATTTTAAAAACTTATCTAATTTACATTTGAATAAATAACACATTATCAGTTCACATCAGAAAGAGAAGAGTTCTGTTTATATATATTGTAATGACTACATTGTGAAGATAATATTGATCTTGTTTACTGGTTGCCGATGATTCACTGCTATATCTGTCGAATCAGTCTAAATTTAAACCTTTCCCTGGAGATTCTAATTCAAATTATATTTGGCACCCGTAGAGAAAGTATGCCTTCATTATAAAATCCACAAATAAATTTAGTTTTGATCACATTTACACATTGGAACAGATACTAAGGTCGGAAAAGTCTCCCCTGCAGGAAAGTCCATTGGTATAAGGTAAAACCATTTGTTACCATATTTACATTAAATTAAATATTATTAATCTAATTTCTGTACAATAACCAAAAAATTGCCATATTTACAATAAAATATTCTCAAAACAGTATGATTCATCAAATTTAGTCCAACATATTAGGACAAAACAATTTATATAAATTTAAATTGTGAAACTAATACCTGAAAATACATCATTATGTAACAATGATTCATCTGGCAAACCCCCATTGTAACATAACTTGATATTATTCCAGAACAATTATTTTCAAATGAATGAAGGTTTGTATTGAAAGGAAAATAAATACTCTTCCCCATTAAATGAGTTCAAAGAAATTTGATTCATCAAAAAAATTCCCAGCCTACCTAAAAAATGTTTCATGAAGATTCAAGAAATTGAAAAAATTTTCAGGTTTGTGGGTTCCAGATTGATAAAAATATTTTTCCAGAACTACTGGTCGATAGAATTTGATTTACAGAGACTGTTTTGACTTATTCACAGTCGAGCCCCCGTTTGTATTTCCTGACATTCATGCTTTTGACTGTGGATTCATGTGAAATTCATTTTCCAATCATGTGCTGTGTCATATTGATCAATGATAGTGTCTTGGTGTAAAACAGTGATTCAGAAATATGTAATAGGGAGAAATTATAATTTAGTTAACAGGGAATTGAATTCTGCTTCGTGAACATTTTTAACTTTGAAAATAACAGAAATTTTATGACCAATCCTAACCATCCCACTAAATACTAAAGCATGCATTGAATAAACAACTTCAATGAAGCATCAACTTACGATAGTCCGCCATCAGGAATGTATCGAGCGTACAACTCATCTTCCGGCTGCATGCTTCTGTACCCTATGGACTCTAGCCGTTCCGGTTCAAATTCTTCAGCTGTAATTAAAAAATATTGGCCGATTGCATGTTCGTCTTGTTACAAATGCATACATTTATGTGGCAGGATGATGGTAAGTAGCCTAGCAATTATCACAGAATCAATCCATACCAGATTCAAACTTGCAAATATTTCCTACTCAGCATAACCTTCAAATTAAACCATATTAAAACGCCATAACAAATTTATTCATCATACCTGAAGATTCAACTTTGTCAATTTTAATTTTAATAATTCTCATATTGGAAGTCTACACTGACTATAATAAGCCAACTAACAACTGACATATTTTGCATTCATTTGAAACGGTTTTTCCAAATTGCTCTGGGAAATTCTATCTTCAGGTTGACAGGAGGCAATGCAGCAGATTGACCAATGAGATGGAAAACCCGTCAACTGCTAATTACAAAACCATCAATTACCAAGCTTGGGCCATTCTAAATCACACATTAGAAACAAATTTTCCTCCATAATATTTCCATCGCTATTCATCGCAGAGATGGGAAATTAATAGGCTGTCATGAACTGATGCTAACTTGATGAAAATTTTTCAGTGTTTTCTTTTTTAAAAAGTTCCAAAAAATTTACAAAATAATTTTCCATGGTACAATGAAGTCATTTAGGTCAAATGACGTGTTCTAATTGGTTAAGTAATAAGTCATGACATTAGTTAGAAAGCTGGATGAAATAATATTGAGAACAAAACAAACAATAAAGAACATGCGAGTCTGGACTTTCTACTGATAATTTTTAAATTCCAAACATAAATTATGGCTTCGATGAAACAAATATTATTTTAGTTCATGTAATAAAATTTGGATCGTCTGTTCCTCTTTGAAAACAAATATGAGAGATGTGAGAGTGCATGAATAAGGCCCAAACTAAACCACAAGACATTTTGGAAAATATCAATTACTGAGGCAAATAAAATAATCATGCCGAAACCATGATTTAAACAATCACGAAACCAGATTGACTCCCAATCCAATCAATCCTAATCTCAATATTAAATGCAAGGATTCGCAATCCTCACATTCACAAGACCATTCTGGAAACAAACGCGTTTAACGTTACGATCTAACACAAAATATGCCAACACCACAAAACAACATACAAAGCAGGTACTTTCCAAAGTACTAGTACAACCGCAACATAATACATCCGATGTAAAGAAGGATTATCTTGCGTTACACAAGAATAATAGAAATCACACTTGCATTACAGCATGACTAATGCATGTAACAAGACCCATTGAACATAGAGATAGACAGTGCTGCATAACACATATTATCTAATATCGACTAAACCAGATAAATTTTATTGGTAACAGTTACGGTATTATACAGGGTTATCACTTCTACCTGATACAATAACACCACTAACAACGCAAATAAAACCTACTTGTCTGTTTCTTTTCTTCTGTTGTGATTTGTTGTTGACCTTGACACATTGTGTTCGTTTCGCCGAGTTTCTCGTCGATAATCTTCAAATTCTCAATTTCTGAAAGAGTAATCGAACCAAGTCCTGAGTCAAAGTTTTCATCGGTGATCGACGCACATTTTTGGTCGTCATGAAAATCATCATGCGATTGTGACGGCATATAATGCGATGTATTTATATTCGACATTTTTTATGTCCACAAGAGTTTTTTCCTTATACTATTTGCTTCAAATGCACTTGATACTGTGATATTTGAACTTTAATTCAATGCGATATATTGTACGTACTTCTAGAAATATCAAAATAGGTTGGTTGCCTGAATATAGTTACATGAACAGCTGAAATCATTTAAAAATAATAATAATTTTTTTCAATTTCAGAAATGTGGTACTTTCATGACTTCATTCCTGAATTCATTATACTGTTTTAAGATAATGGCCAAAATGCCTGCCACCTGCTGGAATCGAGAAATTCCATTTCTATCTGGTCATATCAGTAATCACAAAGAGCCTGATAACTTCATATACTCGTTCGTAAGCGCATAATCATACTGTCTGCCTGTCTTATAATTCCTGAATTCAGGTCAATATGGCGAAACTGTGAAAGAGTCAGACGGGAAGCAACTAAAATTTTATCAACATATAGACAATAAATCGATAAAATAACCAACTATCAATCTGCAGAGATCGGAAATTTTACATTGATATATAGACGAAACAGTTCAAAAGCAAAGTGTGGTATTTAACAAAAAATCGACAGAACAACGGTCAGATTTTAAAATGGCAGGAATATCGCAATGGCAGTCGACACGAAATATTTTGGGAAATCCCCGGAATCAACCAATCAGGACCCAGAACTGAAACGAGAGAATTTTCTTTTTTCTTCATCTCTCTCGAATATTTTTACTGATCGATACGAAGCAAATTGGAATTCCCCAACTGTGTTGATCGTCACCTAGATTGGACAGTCGGGGCGATTTTTCTAGAACGGGCCAGGCTTGATTCGTACTTCATCCGAAGATACTTTTTGGATAGTTTCAACAAGCTGAGATTTTGCGATTTTTCTCAGAAATTCGAAGTTTTAAAAGTGAGTCATCAGTTTAATTGGTTTCCTGGATGAGTAAACTCGTGCCAGCTTGTACGATATCTCTAGTCAGATAAGAAATATGTTTCCTCGCCAAATAAATCACGCACTAATAACGATTCTATGAAGTCCCGATTTAAATCATGATATTCGTATGCCAATATATATTCTAAGAAATTATTCGAGTTTTATACTGTCATAGAGAACGAGCAGACCTGGCTTAACATGTTTGCATGCTTGACGGCATCGCACATCTACAAAAGCAAGTTGGGCTTCATTACCGAACCTGCACTCAACCCTCCCGAAACGACGAATGAAACTAATCATCGCCGACAGAATACAATCTTACTAAAGCTGTAGTCAGCGTTCGACAAGTGCATACATCCCGTCTTCAGTATTTATAATTACTTACTCTTTTATATTGCTTTTACGAGGCGAATAAACATACATACATACATACATATAAATGAAGAAGAGTGAAGCGTGGCAATGCTAACTTAAAGTTAAAAATACCCTGCGCGATGCCCTAATCCGAAGTGCGTGACAACGCCGCAGATATTGGTACTATCAAGGACAGTGCAGTTTACTAATTCTTGTCTGTAAATAGGCTATCTGACAATATATCACCGAATGATAGACCTAAACCAGTGATACATTCAGAGAAACTTACTAAATTCTGCTAAACTAATACTAAATTATCTCGATGAACGATCATCCAAGCTTCACTGGTATCAAACAACTATTTGTAGGTATTATACCATATATCACATTCAATGCACAAACTCCACATTTTGTACCTAACATACTTTACTATACAATTCTTTTACCTAAAATTATACTTCGTATCAACTACAGGCAAGGTTTTTGCTTTCCCCCTCCGGCCATGCCACAAATAAGATGAACTACCCCGCCTGGCAACGATCATTCCTGGTTACCGGAACCTGTCTGTTCCCGAGTCCTCCCCCCTCGTGAATCATCACGGGATTGAACGAGGGAACGTGTCAATGATATTTCAACACCATGACAAAGAAAAAATACCAAATATACGCGGATTAGATATTCATGTTTGTGAGAGTGTCAAGTGTCGCTCGAGATGATAGACAATTCCAGTGGTGTAACCATGTACTTTTCTCTGCGATACATATCCGAAATACCGTATATTCCAAGGGATAATTGATATGATCTCTGTTAAGTCGATTCGAGTGCATTTGTCTCGATACTTAATCCGTCTCACTCATTAAAGCTTATCTAACAGTATAAAAGAGTTTTGGCATTTGAGCTGTTTGGAATCTGTAATAATTCTGAAATAATGAATATTTCACTGTAATTTGTTTACAGTGTATCGAATTTTAGTCTTATCGCCGATTTGATCTACAAACACAATAGAATAAGACCGACCGGAAACGTTATGAAAAGTCGAAATGTCCGATCAAAATGCGTCACAGTTGATCTCTCTGTCTATTTCAACCATTCTGTGACGCAACAAACATAATAAACATTTCCCATTATTGCTCATCAATTCCTATTTTCGTTGAATTGCTAATGACTTCAATCCCATTTATAGACTTTTGATATTTTCGATGTTAGGTTTTATAAGTTAAGCGATATTAGGCCGAAAAATTCCTGCCATTAATCAAAATCTACGCACGATGGTAAAGCCGACGAAATATGAGTACGATGCTGGTATTTTACACATGATTCAATAATGCACATTTCAAAACAAAATTTACTCAGAAATAAACGGTGAGCAACAAAGGAAGGGATATAAGGAAATCGGACAGCGCAGAAGGCGCAAATAAATATCGAATGACGTTTGATATGGACGAAATGTAACCGCACACATATATTAAACTAACTAACAATAGACTCAATAGCACACTAAAATTGGGACAAGCTGCGTCTACGCTAAATCTGTTTAGAATACTAAGATACAAATATATCTTGATAAGTCTCTAGCAAAACTAAACAAACAAACATGCACTGGTTCTCTCTTGGCCGACTATTTGTAGCAGCAGACATACGAGACAAAAATCAGAGTGACCTTGCGAGCAGCGTTCTTCTTTATATTATAATCCGTACACAATTATAGAAAACTACCGCCTGTTTACCTACAGTCGTCTCAATAAGGGCCCGCGTAAATCCCCAGGACTGGGTCGAGTCGTCGGAGTAAACAAGGTCTTTGTATGGAACGAGGCGTATGTATGGAAGGTTCGAAAGATGGCTGTGAAAGAGAGTTACACAATGTAGATTGCGAATCGAATATTATAATCGAACGAACATTGCGATTTCGGAAAACTCGACAAGTTTAATTGACGAATATTCCTTTACTGAACCAGGGAAAAAAAGATCTGTTTAGGTTAGTGAAAGAGTAGTAGAGCTACTTATCTGGAAAGTTAGTGGAAATGCAACATAATTATCTCGAACAATTTTCCAACAAAACATCTCGGCGAAGCTTGCTCGCGTGACATGTGGTAATTGTGTCGTTTACGGTTTCAGTTTGGCGTGAATTACATTTTCTCGCCTAATGATTTTTTCATTAGAATAATCCAAACGAATTGAGGGATGGCAAAGTATTTGAATATGCATCCCACAAGGGTTAGGTTGTTGGAAACTACGACCGCGATCACTGCAACCGCTCGTATGGTCTGGCCTTCAGTAAATCATCAGCAAACAAAGATCGAACGATATTGAAACGAAAGTTATGAAAAGCAAACAGTAATTCTGCCTACTTTGTTTGTTCTGTGATAATTCAGCAATTACACTCTGTTGATGGCATATTGTCTCAGGCTTATCCATTCTCAGAATATTGTGGTGAAATACTGAATGCGGTTTCTTTTGCGGTTTTTGTTACAAATTGACAACGCAAGCGATTTCGGAAGACTACGATGGAACGCCAATAAGAATATTTTAATATTTTGAGCGCCTACCATATTCAATGGGTTACATATACTTTTCTCTATGTCGCAACGACACATTTCCTGAGATAACTGCAAAGCGTGCAACCGTTCCCACTAACTCACTGAAGCATATCAAAAGTAACAATGACAAAACAAAACTGTCTGTCATGCAGTAAGTTGGCAACGATCGGTACTCACGGTAATAAACGGTACTAAAAGGAGCGGAATAAACCGTGACCGCGTTAAAAAACTAGCCTGTTGTTCGGAAAGTTGGTTCTTTGGAATGAAAAATTTACTCAGACTTTTTTTTCAGCCAGCTGACCAGATCGCGTGTTTAGCGCACTTGCCCCTCCTCACAACAATCCTGCAAAATACTGATCCTTCTCTCCTGGGTTTAGAGTTTAAATCACGATGATAGTTCCCTTCGGGGAATACCCAGATTCCACCCTACTATTGCATCTGTATGTCGCCCTCATTTTCCAGCCTTGGCCATAGATACCCCAACATACGCGATGAGTTAGAAATATCGTCCTCGCATAACGTCACATGTGTTGCCCAGGGCACTGCAGAGAGATATTGATGAGACACGGAAGGCATACTTCTATCTACTTTATGGAACAGAAGTCAGCGCATATACTGCATCCAACCACTGCGTGAGAAGGCTCATTCTTTCAATATGCCATGTATGGCCAAGCCTGATCCGAGCAATATACGACAACATACCGGCGCAATCTTTGTCGCAAGAAATAATCTTACGTTACGTCATTTTGATTTTGCACTGTAGTATCAAGTAAAATGACTGTAGACCGCCGCTAAGATACGTGCGTTTCATGTAGCCCATATATTCTGCAATAAAACGGGCAGCATAGACCAAGTTTAGACGAAGAAAATGATAAACACGGTTATGTCCCGTAGTGGACTATTTTTATTCCTTGTAACAAACTCTGATCATACGCCTTTATTTATTTTTGATTACGCGGGTCACGTGGTCAATATTTGGTCACGATAGCGCAATTAGATTGAACCACGCTTGAGTCGGCAAATATTATGTGGGAGGAAATCGGGGATTCCCCGAAATAAATGCAAAGACCTGACATTAACCTATAATTGATTATCAGGTTAGGATATTATTATAATAATTATTGTTCAAGGCGGAGTGGTATAGAATAAAAGAGAAATTGAAGTCGTTGCTCAGTTAACCCTAACAAATCTCAGCGCTTCCGAAGTATGAGCACCAAGATGGCGCACAACCTGAACCCTAACCTGGTACACATACTATGTTCAGGTTGTGTGCCATCTTGGTGCACATAACTCTGAAGCTCCCAAATCTCACGTCATAGTTTCGAAAGCGCCGTAGAGCGCTATTC